AGGAGCAATACATAGCAATTATTTTAAACAGGCGGAATACACGAATAGATGAAATGGACATTTTGGTTGCATGGCTTTAAAGACCTTCTATGTCAGAAAAGACTGGAAGTTCACAAGACAGATGACAATAGTGATTACACATAAAACTCGAGCCTTTTTCAAAATAACTGCCTAATCTGAATCCTGTGAATATTTTGGCCAAACAAGATCAGAAATGAAGAAGTGATGGAAAACAATGTTCATCACTGGCTAACGCTATCAAAGGAAAAAGACAGAGATGGGCGGTGAACGTTTGCAATATTCCTTGTGACATTTTGCCGATGTCCTTCAGGGATCATGTAGAGGTTGTTGCGAGGAAATGCCCCCAAAAAAACAAAATTTACTGACCACTCTCAAGATTATGGTAGCAATGAACACGGAACAAAGAATTCTGTTCACAATGTTGCAGTATGTGATCCAGATTATGGACTGGGAATGCTTACCATATCAAAGAGTCAGCATACAGAATGTAGCCATGTGGGTAATTCTGGTGTGTACAAGAGATACAGAAGTAGTAAAGTTAGTTCCGTATCCTTGACAGGACGTTGCAGAACCAACCCCAGAATAATGTTTTTGCTGTTGTGGTTAATCTAGGCAAATTTGCGTCCAGTAATGCGGCATTGCTTTCTGCACAGTCAGCGTCTCGATACCACCATCGAAACCAGCACAAGGCCGGCTGCTGGTATCGAACCCGGTACTCCGGCATTAAAAAGCGCGTTCGCAACTCTTTAGCCACAGACGCCGACTACAGGGGTAGTATTGTTGTGAAAAAATTCTTGCACTGCCTACTATTGTAGATAGTCTCAAAGTTATGCAAGCAAAGTCATATCTCAGAGTAGTTGCAGACAAGAAACACCTCCTGCATAAAGCCCTGTGTAAAGCTAAGGGTCACAGACTGATAAGAAGAAGGTCTTGGAAGGCGCAAGCTGAGGACACAATTAGACATATGAGTACAGGTTTGATCAATCTGGGAGTGAAGACGTGTAAGTCAAAGTGTTCGAGCAAGTTTCAGACTTGAGTCGGGTTAATGGGAGTGTATAGGTTTCTGGTCCGAAGAATCCCAGCGCAGTGCACGAACTCTGTGGCACCGGCGAGGATCCTGAAATACGTTTGGGTAGATTTTCATCTCTAAATTTTGCCTGGGCTATAGGCTAATCTTTTCGATTTCCAACTGCCAAGGATTTACGTGCGAAATAATACACACGGGCGTCCGATCTTACTACCCAGAGAGCAGGGAGGGGGGTCCCAGCCTGAACCTGAGACCTCCAGTACTCGAGGGATGCCAAGCATCGAGACCACCAAGTTGGTAGTGTCCAAGGTGCTATGATCTTGATTCTTAATACAACATTCAACTTTCGGGGATAGACAGCAGATGGACAAAAAAACGCTTGGACGACAAAAGGAAATCAGAAGGATAGTCATCATTATCATCAGGTGCCTTGCCGACTGGCGTTGACGATCATGCCTCTCCATAATCTACGATCTCTTGCAGCATGTATCAGTTCGTGTGCCGACACACCTCCATGCCATGCAACAAGACTGTCAAGAATCATCTCTCGTACAAGGAAGGATAGTACAAAGGGAAATGGAGGAGTCTAAAATGAGATGGGATTTTAAAAAAAAGCAGAAAAACAACAGACCGGCAGCAAAGATAATCACTCGAATATCCTTGTATCAACAGCGACATGACATATAGAATCTCGCCACACGTCGTCGCCAGGCAAAAGTATGTGGACGATCACAATGGCCAAAGCAGTGTTGCCATTTTTCTTTGACAAAAAACATCCAAAACAGAGTCAAAAAATATCTACAAACATCTAAATGTGCGTGGAAAACATCTAGAAAAAACATCCAAATGGAAAGAGTTTCAAATTACATGGCAATTGATATCATTTACCCTATAGAATGATGTCCTCATCTTTACTGGACTGCCTTACAAGATCCACAGGATAAACTTAGCTTGTGTGATGAAGTTGAAGCTTCAGATCCAAAATGACTGGTATGCTTTAACTGTTCCAATTTCTTTTAAAACCCAACAAGTTGCAAAATTTTATTGTCAAGATAGCATTTAAGATGTTACATTTCTATTAGTGTTGCCACTTTGGATGTTTTACATCCAGATTTAGATGTTTCCCCTTGCATTTAGATAGCGTTTTTGACGTTTAGATGGTAGATGTTAATCTAGTGTTTTTCATTTGGAGTAAAGTTATTAAATCTAACCCAAGAAACAGGATGCAATTTGACCTCTTAAATGCTTTCTTGACAATAAAATTTGTCCTGATAAGAGTAGGAAAAGGCTGTTCCACTTATTAGCTCCCTGATTGGGTATTAGGAGAAATTGGAACAGCCAAACCATACCAGAGTCATTTTTTATCTGAAGCTTCAACTTTATCATCCAAGCTAAGTTTATCATGTGGATCTTGTAAGGCAGACTTCAGTAAAGATGAGGACATAATTCTATAGGGTATGTCATATCAAATAGTATGTAATTTGTGACTCTTTCCCTTTGGATGTTTTTCTAGATATTTTCCACGCAAATTTAGATGTTTTTAGATATTTGTGACTCCGTTTTGGATGTTTTTTTGTCAAAGAAAAGTGGCAACACTGATTTCATCATGTTTCTTAGGTTAAATTTGATAAATTTACCCCAAATGATAAGCATCTAGAAAAACATCTACCATCTAAACGTCAAATACGCCATCTAAATACAAGGAAAAACATCTAAATTTGGATGTAAAACATCCAAAGTGGCCACACTGGGCCAAAACCTCTGTATTGCTCTATGAGAAGAACGGATTTTACCGGCACTAAGTAGCACGATGATGAACGGGTTCTTGACTGACTTTCGCATTAACACAGTGAAACCACACAAGTACTCCCAATTTGCTCTATGAGATCCACTTGTGTACGCAGTGTAAACCTCTGCAATCACCACGATCTACAACAGTAGATACAATCTCAGGGTATTCACTTATTATCTACAAATATTTTTTTAATCGAAAATTCTTACTTAGCTATTCAGTTAATACGCTAGACAAAACTATAGTGTGAGTCAGAAATATGGCTACTCAATCACATTTACTAAAGCTACCGAAATAAGCCTATCTGCAAGTCTTCTTCTTTTGTCAAAATCTGCTTGTGCCGCTAGGCGTCGCAGTCTATCAGATGATCGGCAACCGAGCCAGGGCGCGCTCAGTCGCTTCATATGCCGTGATGTTATGAAGTCTCAAGTTGTCCGTGACTCCTTCAATCCATCTTCTTCTTGATCTTCCCCTGCCTCTTGGTGTTTCGATTTTCATGTTGTATGCTCTTGATGCTGGCATCGTTGGTTCCATTCTCATTAGGTGACCAAACCATTTCATTCTTTGCTTCTCAATAAATTTAACGATGGGTATGGTTCCAATAGTTCTTGTAATCACATCGTTTCTCACTCTATCTCTTCTGGTTTTATTCGCAGCCATTCTCAAACATCTCATTTAACCGGTGGTTAGTCTTCTCTCGTGTTCTTTTGTTAATGTTCAAGTCTGACATTGATAACCTAATGTCGGTATAAAGATTGTATTTATAATTTGTCTTTTTATCTCAGCTGGGACAGCAGGGTGCTTTAAAATTGGGGCAAGCTGGTATGCGACATTGTTGGCTTGTTGGATTCTTGCTTCGATCTCTCTGTCTATTTTACTATTGGATGTAAAGATACTTCCCAAGTATTTAAATTCTTGCACTTGTTTTAGGCTGTGATCTAGAATCTTTATGTCGATGGTCTGTTGCTCTCTACTTAATCTGCAAGTCACTTTTTAAATTTTAAAAAAGTCTGAAGTATACTGACGCATGCACGTTGACTCTAGATCATTAAGAATAGAAGCCTGAAAAAGCACGTCTATGGTATCTTCGAAGTAAAGATGGGAGACACTGTGATAAACGTCTCATGAGAACAGTCAGTAGAAATACTCTGAGACGGCTGCAGCAACGAACGGCTGGACACATAGGGGAATGCCCAATAATCAGTGGCACGGCTGTAGTAATTTAGTATAAACATAATGGAAGTCACCGTGGCGGAGCGGCTAGACGCTCGCAGCGGATCGGAAAGTCGTGGGTTTCCTTTCGGTGGAGCCAGACTTTTTTTTTTCAAAAATGACCTTGGCTCCCAGGTCGACCCAGCCTTGAATGACTACCAGGTGCAGTCCCGGGAAGTAAAGGCTGCCGGCGTGAGGCTGACCATATCACCCATCTTGTGCCGATTGGTCTATAAAATATAGGTCTAGCCCTATAAGCCTATACACGTAAAGGCGTTGAAAGGGGTCATTTACTTTTGTTTTAATTTTTTTTTTTAAACACAATAGACGCATGTTTGGTAGACGAACAAAAAAGGGGGGTTATTAAATGCTGGTAAAAATTCATTTTAGAGAGCTTTTTATAGCTGCATTACTTTCACATAATTTATAACAGTGATGTAGAAATACGTGTTTTCCTAAAACAAAAAGTAACACGTATCGTAAGGTAGAGTAAGAATTCTCTCAGAGAGAGAGAGAGAGAGAGAGAGAGAGAGAGAGAGAGAGAGAGAGAGAGAGAGAGAGAGAGAGAGAGAGAGAGAGAGAGAGGAGAGAGAGAGAGAGAGAGAGAGAGAGAGAGAGAGAGAGAGAGAGAGAGAGAGAGAGAGAGAGAGAGAGAAGCAGTTAACTGTGTGACTACGTTTGTCTACATGTGTTTGTACATAAATATGTGCATCTTCCTTTCTATAACAGATAAATTATCATACGCTTTGTTTTAATTTGCAGGCTCACCCTGGTTCACACCAACATAAATATCTGTCAATACTGAGTTCTGATCTCTAACTTAGACAAACAAGCATAGTGACTGTAAACCTGCCTTGTCGGATAAATTTACGAAACTACCTAGCTGGCAAACTTTTCTCAAATTAAATGTGAAAAATCATCAGCAGAATTGAAGTCTGCATACAAAATATGGCGTCAAGTTTTCCCGTACCAATGCAAAATTCGTTATCAGACGAATACTTACAGTCTGGTTTAAATTCAGCAATGGTTGCGATTCAGTCACTTGTAAATCTGAATAATTCTAGATATGAAACGTTCACGAGAGAAACACATGCTGCAATAGCTAATATGGCAATGTCAGATCATGGGGAAAACAGAAACACGAATTCAATGGCGACGATGGAAATGACTGGAAGGCCATCAGACCCCGAGAGAGGAGTGGCTGTGGAAGGGATTCCCCAATCGGATCCACGGCGACGTAGTTCTGTGAGCTGGACTAACCAACCTCCTGGTTCAAATGTGAAGCTTTACGATCCCAACAGTGTAGTGAAGCTAAACATGAACGACAGGGGTTTCACTGAACAACCGCGAAGGAGTGCATTAAGACTGTCTATTGACTCCAACGCTAGGCTTTACGACAGACCTGGCAGTAGGATTCAGCTGGGCTCCAACAACACGATGAATCCTGTGGAGCAGCAGACTGCTAACAGGAGCTGGCCGAATAGTGATTCTCTCAGCTCAAATATGCAATATTTTGATAACCCCACCATTCTGCCGCAGCCAGTGACAGAGCAACAGAGGCTCAGTCAGATCAAATGGCAGGACATCAGCCAGCCACAACCTTACGACAGCAGACTACCTGGTGTCGATACCAAGCCAGCAGGTTTCGACAATGCTTCAGGGGAAGTAGCTTACACATCGCAGGTAGGTTAGAGAAATCATTGTTCTTGTTATGTACAGTAAATGCAAGGCTCTGTGCTTCGTTAACCTATCGCCTCCTCCCTTTTTCCAAACTCTCATATGTGCTGGAACCCAAGGGCTCCGTTCCCTTGCTTTACAGACACTCACAAATTTGTCACGTTCAGCCAGAATACCCGAAGTGGGAGCTTTAGGTTATAATTGTGACTAGGCTATGTGTGCCATATAAAATGGCTTAGCACTGCACGCCACCGAGAGTCCTGAAAAGGACTCCTGCAGTTGTGATGCGATAAAAGGATACAGGCGCAAATACTGTCCCGACTGACGCGAAATCGTCTGCCGGCAAGCCAATGGGCGACTCAGTCAGCGATGATGCCTGGGGGTTCAGATAGCTTAAGCACCTGGAAGGAAACTAAAATTGGGAGCGGGGTCATAATTCCTAGAGGAGCTGAGCTTACACTCCTAAGAAAATGTTCAAATATTTTCCCCAAACTGTGTTATAGACATTCTCTTTATAAGTATTTGTTTATGTATTTCACATTCTGTTTGATAAATGGTTATGTAAATTTAGTATTTATCACATTATATAACAAGTATTATTATTGCGCAATGAAACATGGTTTTAATTCTCCCTGAGCCCTGCCCCTAGAAAATCATAATGTGGCCTGGCGTAAGCTTCCATCTCCTCCCCCAAAAATGGTTTCTTGGTGGGGCACGGCGGTTAAGTAAAGTCTATTAAAATTACCCGTCAGATTTGCGCATTTCGTCAGACAATTGAAACATACAACGAACATATTGCCTTCTAGAATAAAGAATTATTAAAATATAAATACATAATAGTTCCGGTTTGTGTCAAGATGGCGGGACGTGTTTCTCTCTAGCTCGGCGCATATCGGTTGATCGACGGTCCGACAAGCTGTCATCGCAAAACCACCAATTGTTATAGAATCAGATTTCTGACTCTAACTGCACGATGATTCGTTCTAATCTGTTAAATTCCAAGGACATCTTTAAAATTGGTTACTGGAATGTTAGAACCATGTATCAAACGGGGAAAACAGCTCAAGTGTGTAATGTTGTGAACGATTACAACCTGGATATTCTCGGTGTCAGTGAGTGTAGATGGACTGGTTCGGGTAAAATATTTTTAAGTTGTGAACAAAAACATATCATCTATTCGGAAAGAACAGACAACCACCATTCAGACGGAGTCGCCGTCATTATGTCAAAAACAACGGAAAAATCGCTAATCGGCTGGGAACCAGTAAATGACAGAATTTTAACAGCGCGTTTTCAGACCAAACATTTCAAACTAACTATTATACAGTGCTACGCACCTACAAACAACGACACCGACAGCAACAAAGATAATTTCTACGACCTCCTGTTTGGTGTCATAAACAAAACTCCTAAGCTTGACCTCCTTGTTGTAATGGGCGATTTTAATGCCAAGTTAGGGTCTGACAACAAAGGTGTTCAAAAATATATGGGAGTACACAGCCCAGGAGATATGAATCAAAACGGAGAGAGGCTAATTGAACTCTGTGAAATAGCAAATCTAACAGCAGCAAGCTCCTTATTTCCGCATAAAGACATACATAAAATAACCTGGATTTCGCCAGATAACATAACAAAAAACCAGATAGATCATTTTTGCATCAGCGCCAAAATCCGTACATCAGTGCAAGACGTTAGAGCCTACAGGGGAGCTGATATTGGCAGTGATCATAATCTTTGTATTGCCAAACTAAAAATTAAACTCAAGTCTCTACTTAAACCACCCAGAAATAAGAAAATAAACTTACAAGCCCTTTTGTCAAAAGATCATCAAAGCGCATTTAATGCAGAGATACTCACCACCTATGTAACCAAAACTAATAATGCGGATACTACAAATAACATAGACACAAATTGGGACTTTTTCAAGAACACACTGACGAACGCTGCAGTAAACACAGTTGGTTATGTACAAAAGCAGAAGAAGAAGTGGCTAAGCGACAACACTTGGTCAAAAATCCAAGAAAGGAAACAAGCAAAATTAACACTTTTATCCAAAAAAGACACATCTTCATACGAAAAATACAGCACGGTAGACAAAGAAGTGAAATCAAATGCAAGGAAAGACAAACAGAACTTCATACACGACCTCGCCTCCGATGCTGAAACAGCTGCCAAGATTGGAAACAACAAAGCCGTATTCCATATTATGAAACAACTGTGCAATCACTCACCTACACTAAATACACCCATTAAAGACAAGCAGGGTAAACTACTGCTATCCGACGACCAACAAACAAAGCGATGGGCAGAACATTTCAAGGAAATATTAAATAGGCCAAATCCTGACATCATTCCCAATTTAGAAGAAGAAATTATTACACCAACACTAATTGCCTCCAGCGAGTCATTCACAATAGAGGAGATTAAAACAGCTATTAAAAAATTAAGAATAAACAAAGCTACCGGAGAGGACAACATCTCAGGGGAAATGCTCAAAGCAGCGGATGAAAACACCCTGCAACATTTGCTCCAGCTGATGGATGAAGTCTGGCAAAACGAATACCCACCACAACAATGGAAAGATGGTGTAATCTTCAAATTACCTAAAAAAGGTGATTTATCCGATTGTAACAACTGGAGAGGCATCACCCTGCTTTCGATACCAGGGAAACTATTTTGTAGTATGTACTAGAAAGATTGAAAAAATCCATAGATGAAAGATTAAGGGAAGAACAAGCCGGTTTTAGATCCAAGCGGTCATGCATAGACCACATCTTTACTCTTAGAATAATTGTTGAAGATTCTACAGAATTCCAGTCGAAATTATTGATCAACTTTGTCGACTTTCAAAAAGCCTTCGACAGTATCCATCGTCCAAAACTCTGGAAATTGCTTAACATCTATGGTTTCCCCATCAAATATATCAACATCATAAAATCTTTTTATAATGAAACACGATGCTGTGTAAGAACTGATTCCGGCAATTCTGACTGGTTCCCGGTGGAAACAGGAGTGAAGCAAGGCTGTGTCCTATCGCCGATGCTTTTTGGGTATAGCAATCGACTGGGTCATGCGCAAGTGCATAAATAACGCAAATTTAGGCATTACATGGGTTGACAAAATTCTGGAAGACCTAGACTTCGCCGACGACATAGCACTCCTGAGTTCAGAACACACAGACGCCCAAGAAAAAATCAATCGACTCCAGAATTTCTCAGAACAAATTGGACTCCAAATTAACACCGCAAAAACAAAAATTCTAGACCTTACCAACAGTTCAGTTGATATCACGCTGAACAACAATAGCCTTGAAAAAGTCAACAGTTTTCACTTATCTAGGGAGCAAGATGTCATCTACAGGAGATACCGCACCAGAAATATCATTTAGAATAGCACTGGCATCTAGTGCCTTCAATAAACTGTCTAACATCTGGAAATCAAAGACACTTAGCAAACACACAAAACTCAAGATCTTCAATTCTTGTGTGATTCCAGTACTAACCTATGGATGCGAGAGCTGGAAATCAACGAAAACTCTAGACACAAAATTAGACAGTTTTGAAAATAAATGCCTTAGAAGAATACTAAATTTCAAATGGTCAGATTTCCGAACCAATACACAAATAAGGCAAGAATCCAGGCAAGAGTATGTGTCTAATTTTATACGAAAACGCCGCTGGAACTATGTCGGCCACGCCCTTAGAATGGATAAATCAAGACTTCCTTACCAAGCCCTCATTTGGACACCACAGGGGAAAAGATCTCGTGGAAGACCAAGGGAAACCCTACGTAGAACTATCATCAGGGAAGGCTCGCTCATGGGCCACTCAAACATCCAAGACCTACAACGGATTGCAACGGACCGCCGTGCATGGAGAGTCGCGACCTCTGCCCTATGTGCCGCACTCGACACAAGAGGAAAGACTAACTAATTGACATTAATGCTTTAACTAATGATAATATAAATGTAGATTTTACACGAATGTTACGAATATTTTGGACGGCTATAGTAACTAGCAGCGATTGCTTAAAATAAGCTAATGAAAGTAGATCTCAATATACAATAATAAGAAGAAGACACTGGTTTTTTTTTTCCACGCAATGAGAAGAGGCATTGGAAAACATCGCGACAACTGGAGAGATCAGTGGAAAGAGGGGTAGAGGCGGACCAAGAGAGACGATGCTGGACGGGCTGAAACGATGGCATAGAGGGATGTCATCAAGAGAGTTGTTCCAGGCAACCAGGGATAGTGATCTGTGGAGACGCATGAGCGCCTATGCCAGTTAGTAGGGCACATAATGATGATGAGATTGTACACATAAAATAAGAAAGACATGGTCTGATTAGAAGCTAGAATGCGCTTTTTGGAGCCAAAATTATAAGATCCGACATAATCATTGGATAACATAATAGTTTCCAAATAAACTATCTCGAAGAGATTGAGCGATGCTGAAAAGCTAACGATAAGCCGTCAAAACAACGTATTAGGTCCATTTGCTAGCTCCCAGATTTCGTCACCTCTGGTCCTGATACCATAACTATCCGATGGAATCTTTATTGCAGAATTCTTCTCCCCTCTCCAAGCACCGAAAACAGCGAGGTATAAAAGACCGATACTGTCACACAATATCTTAGAAGATCCTTATTAGGATGTCGCCAGCCATGGTCTCGCCCACATTGGACTGCAGGTTGCTTAGTTATAGTATGGTAGCCCAGTAACAAGAAACACACACAGACCCACACACACACACAAACACACACATACACACACACACACACACACACACACACACACACACATATATATATATATATATATATATATATATATATATATATATATATATATATATATCCCTTTCATCCCCACTATAAAAGGTTGGCTACGCCACCGAGGTGGCAAAGTCCCAATCTCTTCCACAGCGCAACTGTGGTCTATTGTCAGAAATCCACAAGAATATATTTGTTTATAATAACTGGGGGAGGGGGGGGGGAAACCACGAGGAACGAGCCATAGTACTCGAATTATAGTACCCCCAATTAAAAGCTAGCTGCGTATTCTTCACAGGACGTTAGAGAACCAACCCCAGCATGTTTTAGCTATTGTGATTATTCTAGGCACATTTTACGTTCAGTAGCTTGCCATTTCCCTGAACGGTCAGTGCATTATACGTTTGAACAGGGGTTTCCAGGAGATTTGAACCTGTTTCTCATCCATCAGATGTTCATTTAGAAGAATGAAATCTTAGAAGGAGAAAGGGGGGGGGGGGGGTCGGACTTACACTTCGACATGTTCTCAAGCTAATACCTTAGTGGCGATGGTCATACAGGTATAGTCAGTGACAAGAAGGAAAGCTACAACAAGCTGGCTTCTTCAAAGACGTCTAGATAAATCATGATACGATACGTGACCCAAAAGATATAATTACCTGGAAGACTTGGTCACATGACAAGGGTGGGACAAGAACACGGACCTAATCAGTGATGCGTTTGTTTATAAGAAATGACGAACCATGATTTCTTTAGCTTGTCTGAATCAGGGACTCAACAGTCTAAATCACTGCCTAATCAAGTCCTAATCAGGGCATCACCAAGTCTAAATCAGTGCACCATCAAGTCTTTTTAGGGCATCACCAAGTCTAAATCAGTGCAACATCAAGTCTAAATCAGTGCATTATTAAGTCTAAATCAGGGCACCACTAAGTCTAAATCAGGGCATCATCAAGTCTAAATCAGGGCATCATCAAGTCTAGATCAGGGCATCACTAAGTCTAAATCAGGGCATCATCAAGTCTAAATCAGGGCATCATCAAGTCTAAATCAGGGCATCATCAAGTCTAAATCAGGGCATCATCAAGTCTAAATCAGGGCATCATCAAGTCTAAATCAGGGCCTCAACAAGTCTAAATCAGGGACTCATCAAGTCTAAATCAGGGCATCATCAAGTCTAAATCAGGGCATCATCAAGTCTAAATCAGGGCATCATCAAGTCTAAATCAGGGCATCATCAAGGCTAAATCAGGGCCTCAACAAGTCTAAATCAGTGCCTAATCAAGTCCTAAGCAGGCCATCACCAAGTCTAAATCGTGCATCATCAAGTCTAAATCAGGGCATCATCAAGTCTAAATCAGTGCATCAAGTCTAAATCAGTGCATCATCAAGTCTAAATCAGGGCATCATCAAGTCTAAATCAGTGCATCATCAAGTCTAAATCAGTGCATCATCAAGTCTAAATCAGGGCATCATCAAGTCTAAATCAGGGCCTCATCCAGCCTGAATCCGGCCCTGACACAACTACATTATTGTATATTTGTAAACTTACGTTATTTGCGCTCGTACAGAACAAAACATGACCCTGGTTATTTTCAGATTCTGGTAGAGATAAAGGTAGTTTTTGTTCGAGTGAGTGACATAGATACAATAGGCCAGCAATTCGAAGCTGAGGTGTACATTCAAGCTCGCTGGCCAGAGAGTCAATTTGCCGGATATACAGAAGAGGTATCGCTTCAGACTATATTACATTCGTGCTTTTACTGATGATTCTGTTTATTAAAGTTGTTTGTTTGTTTGCGTTTATTGCCTGAAATCCCGGCGCAAAAACCTGGTTATTCGTCCATTCCTGGGCTTTGCCTTTGTTCCATGACCTGAGTTTTGCGTGTACATCCGTTTTAGAGATCTTGCCTATTTGTATTTGACTACTGGATCCTTGCATCTCAAGCAGATGCACTCCGACTTTAAAGAAAGCCTACCCCACCCACTCACCCCCCCCCCCCAACATTAACCAACTCTTACGACATGCTTGTTAGGGAGGCAGTGGGTCTACTCCTGTTTTCCTCACAACTGGACCCCAGAACCCACATGGGGAGTTATAGTGGTTAAAATGCTGTGTGTCATTATCATCATCACCACCATGTGCTGTGCCGATAAACATAGGTTGTCATGTTTCGCCATCCTACCAGATCAGTTCAGAGTTCTTCTCTCGCTCCATCCATATGGCCAAGACATCTAGGCATTTATCTCTTTGCTGTCCCTTTGCTCTCTTTTCATCACTTACCAGTCATGACCAAGTTCTCTGGTCCTTACTTTCTCATAACAGTTCGAGAAAGAAAAAAATTCATCACACTCATCAGCGCTGAGAACGACTGCCTCGTGTGTTCTTCTATCCTTACACAATATTGTCTGTCTTTATCCCAAATATTACATCTCTCTTGCGAGTAAATGTCTTTCAGCTTGTCTGCTTGTCTGACATGCATATAACAACACAGGTTATAAAAGATTATAATGGCCTGGAGAGAATGAGGCATCTGGGTGTAACTAGAGGGTCTGGCTGGCTCTCTGCACTCATAGAAAAGGCAAGACGGACATATAACGAGATTGTGACCGGCACCATCAGTATTGGAACTCTGCGCTGGTTGCTGAAGATGAGGACAGAGCATCAGGGGAATGCCCCGAGTGCTGTGATGTCAATTCTTGACTCAACTCAACTCATAACAACACAAGTTCTATTCTTGCTGTAATTTAAATGTTCTTATTTATGAGTACGTTTTGCAGCTTACTAAAGACCTCTCTTGCCATGGCGATTCTTGTAAATGTTATGTACGTAGTCGCTCTAGCTAAAACTGTGTAATGTGAGACTGATGTTGAAAATAGAACAAATCATAATTCCAGTGCAGGACGTACACAATCTAGACATCTGCATCACATTATAGGAAAATTAATACTTTGAGAGCTACATTTCTTAAAGGCCATATAAAGCCAATTCTAATATAGAGAAGTGAATCATGACCCATTAGTTAAAAAAAGTTATGTGAAAGCAACAGAGATGTAGTTTTACAGACCAACGCTGAGAACACAGATGTAGATAAAACGAGTAAAGAAATCAGCTCACGAAGAGAACTGTTTGGTCACATCACAGGAAGACGGTGTACATTCTTTGGTCGCATCATGAGAAGGAAACAACTAGAGTACATCATGAAGGTAGGAAAATGAAAAAAAATTAAAATTAAAAACCAAAAAACAAGACTGAAGAGAAAAAAAAACGTGAGAAGTACTGCATAGTTTGACATCATGGTATGTAAGAAATGATCCAAAGTACACATCACAAAAGGTTGTGGATAGACATCGCTGCATTGTTATTATTACATTTCCTTATTTGTGGTGTGTGTGTGTGTGTGCGCTCGCGCGCGCGTGTGAATGCACGTGCGTGTATGTGTGCTATGTGAGTGCTTGTGTGTTTGCCTGCGTATGTGTGCGCGTGTTTGTATGTGTGTGTGTGTATGCGTGACATTAATCCTCCCCTCTTTGTAAACTAACCCAGCAATTGAGCGAGATTGAGTTTCGACAGTGCTGGAACCCTATGCTGGTCATTTTGAACATTGCCGGCTCCGCGGAGAGTGACAGGGCGTCCATGCTGCTGCGTTACGAGCCCGACAGAGTCTACCCTGTGCTCACCTACATGTGGCATATCGTGGGCACCTTTAGGGAAAGTATGGAGCTGCAGCATTTCCCCTTTGATGTTCAGGTCATTTACCACTGTTGTTGTTATCCTTCTCGATTAATTATTCAAACTGGATATTGCCAGCATGCTGATCATAGAAATTGTGACCACACATCCAGTTTTCGCAGGAATAGTATCGGTTTTTTTTTTCAGTTATGCCTAGACTGTTCCATCCTTGGGAGAATGGACACGAGTGTGGATGGGACGTTTTAGGCCTTTAAAAAAAACTTAATTAGGAGAATGGACTTGGGTGTGGGGGGACTGTGTAGGCCTTAAAAAAAATCCTGACTGGGAGAATGGACTTGAGTATGGATGGTATGGTCTATGCCTAAAAAAAAACTTGATTGGGAGAAGGAACTTTAGTATGGAGGGGACCTTCTAGGCCGGCACACAACAAAAAAAAAAAAAAAACTTAATTAGGAGAATGGACTTGAGTATGGAGGGGACCGTCCAGGCCGGCACCATAAAAGGATAAAACTATGGAAATACAGTTAGCGGTTAGCACATTGCGTGATAACTACTTGACTTGATTCGATTGTTAAAGAAAAAGTCGTCATGTTCAACCAGTATACCTCGAAGAGAGAAGATTTTAGTTATAATTGTGACAAGGTTTATGTGCGCCATATTGTTTCCTGAACCAGAAGCACTTGAGCATAGCTCATCTGGCTCAGTGTCGTGAGCATCGAAGCCCTTCAGCCTGGGTTCCACGTACACCGTTAATCTGGGAGGTATGCGGCTTCTCTGCCATCACCCTCGCTGGAACCCGAGACCGGACACGCATGGGGATTGTCACCTGACCTCCAGCGCGCTATCAACTACACTGGAGATACAATGGCTTAGCACTGCTGGCCACCAAGTAGCCGTGAAAAGGACTCTTTGCATTGTTGATGCGATCAAGAGAGACAACCCAAAAAAGGACTCTTTGCATTGTTGATGCGACCAAGAGAGACAACCCAAATACTCCCCCGACCGATGAGAAGCTGACCACCGAAATGGATTTTTTGTTTAAACGAATGGATGAGCTTGCACTTGTCATAATCTATTAAGCTATTTATAATTTAAAATATTTGTGTTTAGAATGTTATCGAGTTTTTGTATACCTTTTTTTTTTTTTTTACATTTGAATATTTTTATAAAGAACAGTGGGCACCAGGACATTTCAACGAAGATAAGAATGTGCCTGTGAAACAGACCACATCCGCCTTCTTCTTCTTCACTTCCTCTTTTACCGCTGTTGGTGTCGAGGGAGATATAAGGTTCTGTTTCTAGCTCTTCTTGCCGCCTCGACTATAGGCACATCGTCCTGTTGTAGAGTTTCTTTGATGTTATCCTTCCATGTTGTGCTTGGTCTGCCTCGTGCTCTACGTCCTTCTTCCCTCTCCATGTATGCTTTGTATGGTATGGTGTCACAAGGAATTCTCTCAAAGTGGGCAAACCATTTCACTTGCTGTCTTCGTATGTAATTTAGAATTGGTTTTGTGCCGACTTTTTCTCTTATGATCTCATTCCTGATCTTATCTCTTATGGTCACTCCTACAGTCCTTCTCAGACATCTCATTTTCATGGTTACTAATTTTCTTTTATGGTTTGTTGTGAGTGACCATGTATGGCACTGGTAGCACAAAGTTGGAATAAATATGCTTTGAATAAGATGTCTCTTTGTGCTGATTGGGATTGTCTTATGCTGTAATAGGTGTGCTAGCTGTCCCAATACTTGGTTTACTTTATTGCATCTAATGTTAATTTCTTTATCCAAATTCCCATCTTCGGTAAATGTAGTTCCCAGATATTTAAACTTTGATGCCTGTTTAATGCCTTTGCACTCTATTGCTATGTTTAGATCTGTCTTCCTTTTTCCTATTGACATTACTTCTGTCTTTTCAGTGTTGATTCTCATATTATTTGTTTTACATTCTTCATTCATGGATGTTAGATGTTGTTGCAATTTCATGGCTGTATCTGCTATCAAGGCCTGGTCATCTGCAAAGAGTAATTCGTTGATCCTACTAACATTTTCATTCATGGGCTTGGCATTCTTGCATATACTGTCGATGTAGACCACATCCGTCATTAACTCTTTATTTACTAAGGCTCATGTCATGGGTTGACTTATAACCCATTTAACCATCCTCTGGTACTGAAAGTTAGACCAGTGTCTCTCCATTTCAATAGTTCTGACCATGGAGGCGAAACAGACATCTCTAGTACTGCCATACAATTTTATCCTGGTTATCACACCATACATGTCTCTAGGAAAATCACCCCTTTTACAGTTAAGGTGAGTCCAGCAGGAGTTAATGTTTAGCACGCTTCATCTAATTATTATTAGCATCATTATTGTTATTATTCTTTTTATATTTTTCTCAACCATTCAATATTATTATTATCATTGTTATAAATTTTATTATTTTCCTCTTTTAGTTTTATGTTTTTTTAAAATTAATATCTGAAAGGATTATTATTATTATTATTTTTATTATTATTAGTATTATTACCATTGTTACTATTACTATTTTCGTTCTTTTGTTTATGCTTCGTTTCGCCACATTTATCCTTGTTCTCCTATTTTATATTCATTTATAACAATTCACATGACTCCGTTTTATTGGAGCTGGCGCAAATCATTTCTTGATTTTTATTTGTTTGTTTGCTCAACGTCAATAAAGGATTTGACCGAAACGTCACTCTTCCTGTGTGCTGTTGTTTTCCTATTTTACACCATTTCCTTTTTTCTTCTTCACTGTTGAGCTTCTTAGTCATAGTCTGGTAAATTTATTTATGCTAGCTCGACTGCCCCCTTATTTTATTATATCTGGTTCGATAGGTATCTCAGCATCTTACCCACACACACACACACACACACACACAAATGTAAGCGCGCTGGGGGCTATGCATAACAATCTTCATAGTTAGTGCACACGCATACACATATATCTATGTAAATGTGTATATCAAGTATATATAATTTTAAAGTGGTTTTATGTTTTGGCCATCAGGAAATCAGCATTGTAATCTCCAGTGAGCGAAGCATACGAGAAATAGAACTGGTGTGTGACTATTCACAGCTCAGTAATGTCAGCCCAAGAGCCCTACAGGTAATATGAAAAGATATAAAACCAAACGGAAAGTAGATTAGCGAGCTTCTCAATGTAGCAACGGAAAGGAAACTTTACGGTTACAGAGCTTTCATCAGCACATTACCTCGGCCCATTTGTCACTTATTTGCGCCCTTGTCATTTGTTTACCTAATAGCTTTTATGTTTCCTTTCAGTA